TCAACTGAAGACTAGCTGGAGAGAAACCTCATAACGAAGGACAAAAAGTGGAGACGGCACAGAGGTTGGTAGGGAGTGCAGAGGCGAGAAAGGGATGGCTGAGCTCCTACAGGCAGTAGCTGAAGTCCCAGAGGGATATTTCAGCTGTGGGGAGGTTCCCACTGAAATCTCTGGAGTCTAAACCCCAAGCTGGGCACCCAGCCCAAAGCACCAGAACTGAGAAAGGGGCCCACATAGCATCTGGCTGTGAAAAGCAGTGGGGTTGTCTGCCAGGGAGAGATGGCTAGAAATGTAGGCACCCTCTTAAAGGGCAAACCCACAAAGTTTCGTGTGCTGCTGCTCACATTGGGCTCCAGCAGAGAGAGAGCAGAATGGACTAGAGCTGTGTGAGGAGAATCCAGAGTTGTGGGCTCTGGAGATAGAGCTCAGAGATCACCCGTCTGGATTCCTGTGCTGAGTCATTTCCCCATAAGGCAGAGATATCTTTCTCAGGCAGACATTTACCATCCAAGCAGTTTTTGCCTGGGGGGTAAGCAACTGTCCCACCCGTTGAAAACTTCTCACCACCCTGTGGAGATTACGGATTGCTGTGGTCTACAGGCTGAGGCTTTTTAAGAAACTAAATAACAATCAGCTTCTGAGTTCTTTGAGTCTTTGCCTGATCTGCTTCTGAACCCAGGGCTCGGAAAAGCAGACCTTGTTGCATATCTTGGTCCTTTCCAAATGCACCAAGCCCCGGAAGAGGGAGCCACAAGACACAGATTGCAAAAAGCTTCAAACAGGGTTCTCAAAACCAGTCACAAACAGCGTATGACATTGGTCTGTACCAAAGACTATCCAGAAGTTTGGGAGTCCTGGTAGATCTACCTAATACATAAAAACAAACCCATATAGGCAGACAAAATTGGGAAACAAAAAAACAAGCCCCAAATGAAGGACAAGAGAATTCTCCAGAAGAAGAGAGAAGTGAAATGGAGATAAGCAATCTATCAGATATAGAGTTCAGAATACTTATCATAAGGATGCTCAACAGCATGAGAGAAGATATGGAAACCATGAAGGAAATTAAGAATGACATAGTAGAAATTAAAAAAATACACTGAAAGGAATAAAGAGCAGATTAGGGGAAGCTGAGGATCAGATCAGCAACTTACAAGACAAGGTAGAAAAAAATCCCTTAATCAGAGAACCAAAAAGAAAAAACGATTAAAAAACAGGAGGACAGCTTAAGGGAGCTGCAGGACAACATGAAATGTAACAATATTCGCATCATAGGAATGCCAGGAGAGGCCGAAAGTAAGCAAGGGTTAGAGAACCTGTTTGAAGAAATAATGGCAGAAAACTTCCCTAACCTGGTCAAGGGAAAAGTCACACAAGTTCAGGTGAGTCCCAAGCAAGGAGAACCCAAAGAGGCCCATACCCAGACACATCATCCTTAAAATGCCAAAAATTCAAGACAAAGAGAGAATCTTAAAGGCAAAAAGAAAAAAGCAATTTGTTACATACAAAGGAGCTCCCATAAGGCTGTCAGCTGACTTCTCATCAGAAACTCTACAAGCCAGAAGGGAATGGCATGAAGTATTCAAGGTAATGCAAAACAAGGATCTAAAACCAAGACTACACGATCCAGCAAGGCTATCATTCAAAATAGATGGTGAAATAAAGAGCTTCCCAGACAAAAAAAGGCTAAAGGAATTTATTGCCACCAAACCAGCATTGCAAGAAATGTTAAAGGAACTGCTGTAATAAGAAGTTAAAATAGAGAAACATAAGCATAAAGAATTAAAATGGCAATAATAATAACCTTAAATGTAAATGGATTAAATACTCCAATCAAAAGACATAGGGTAGCTGAATGGATAAGAAAATATGACCCAAATATATGCTGTCTACAAGCTGTCTCTTATACACATCTAGATGTGTATAAGAGACAGCCTATCGATNTCACCTCAGAACAAAAGACAAAGACTCACACAGGCTGGGAAAAAACCAAATTGGAGGACTTTAAGGGAAAGATCGACAGCAATACAGTCATGGTAGGGGACTTCCACACCCCACTGACTTTATTAGATAGATATTCCAGACAAAAAAATCAACAAGGAAACAGTGACTGTAAATGACACCTGATCAGATGTATTTCATTGACATTTACAGAACATTTCACCCCAAGCTTCAGAATATACATTTTCCTCAAGTGCACATGGGACATTTTCAAAGTAGACCACATGTTAGGATACAAAACAAGTCCCTACGAGTTCAAGAAAACTGAAATTGTATCAAGCATCTTCTCTGACATTTACATCATGGAATACTATGCAGTTGTAAAAAAGAAGGATCCCTTACCCTTTGAGACAGCATGGTGGGACCTGCAGAGTATTAAGCTAAGCAAAATAAGCCAGTCAGAAAAAGACAAATATCACATGATCTTACTCATATGTGGAATCTAATGAAAAATAAACCAATGAACAAAATAGATCCAGAGACATAGAAGCATGGAACAGATTGATAAATTTCAGAAGAAAAGCAGGGGTGGGTAGGTGGGAAGAGATTAACCTAAGAACTTATATGCATATATGCATAACCCCTGGACACAGATAATAGTGTGGTAAAGGCCTGGAAGGAGTGGGGGTTCAGAGTAGAGGGGATCAATGGGAGAAAAAGGGACATCTGTAACACTTTTGACAATAAAGATAAATTAAAACATTAAAAAAAAAAAGTTTTAGACTTTCCCCCAATGACCATGTCTTAGTAAACATTTTTATCAAATGTATGGACAAAAAGTTAATACATAAATGGCACAAAGCTAGAGAGATATTAAAATTGTTTTTTAATCCCTACCTGAGGATATTTTTTCCATTGCTTTTCAGAGAGAGTGAAAGAAGAGAGAGGGGAAAAAGGGAAAGAGAGGGAGAGAGAGAAAGAGAGAGATAGAAGAACATTGATGTGAGACAGACACATCAATTGGTTGCGTCCCTCACGCATCCTGACTAGGGTGGGGACCAAGCCTGCAACCGAGAGATACATGACCTTGGCCAGAATCTAACCCAGGACCCGTCAATCCGCAGGCTGATGCTCTAACCACTGAGCCAAACCAGCTAGGGATATTTAATATAATAGGGATATTTAATATAATAGATGATCTAATTGAAATTAAAAATCATTCCAAGAGTCTTGAACATTAATATAAAACCAAGAAGAAGAAACACAGTACAACTGAAAAGAATTATATGTACAAGCAATGGGAACAGAAATCTGGTCAGCAATTTTAAAAGACCACTATAAATCATGGGTTGACTCCTGGTTGGGGCACATGCTTGGGTTTGGGCTCAATCCCCAGTGAAGTGCGTGCAGGAGCCAGCCGATCAATGACCCTCTCTCAGTATTGATGTTTCTCTCTCTCCCTCTCCCTTTCTCTCTCTGAGATCAATAAAAACTTTATTTAAAAAAAAACAAAAACACACACACACAAAAAAACCCCACTGTGTTTAAGAAGAATACAAACTAGAGTCTGCCCAAAGAAAGGAAATTTGATTGCGGAGGCGGTCTCAAAACATCAGTATATGAAGATTAAAGAAACAAGGAAATACAGATCACTGGGAGAAATACGTACTTTTAAACAGAAGCAACAAATTATCCATTATTTGTTAATTTTGTTTTTCATAAGCATATATGTAAATGTAAAATCCAACCTAATTTATACTTTTAAAAACTTTTCCAAAATTGATATGTCAAATAACTATGTTATATCTCTGATGAACTATTTTCTAAGAAAATGTATGAATTAGACAATAAAGTCTACACATATGATAGCTATATTGACTTTAACAGGATTAATAATAACAGCTAAAATTTTTGAGCACTGATCAGATATCACACATTCTAATAAGCATTTTATAGACTTTATCTCATGCAAGCCATACCAAAACCCTTTAAGACAGGTATTATTACACTCTATTACTATTCATAATAGCAGACCAAATGTCCAACAACAAGAAAATGGATAAACAATGATCATTTCTCACACTGAATACTTAGAGAAATAAACTAAAACTATGTATAGCTACATAAAATCTCAAAAACCTAAGATTATATGAAAAACACAATTCTCGTAAGCATATATACCATGTTAATTCCACCTTTTATAGAGTTCAAAACTATACTGGCCCGGCCAGGCGTGGCTCAGCGGTTGAGCGTTAGCCTAGGATCCAGGAGATCACAGTTTGATTCCTTGTTAGGGCCCAGGCCCAGGTTTCAGGCTCAATCCCCAATGGGGGGCATGCAGGAGGCAGCCAATCAATGACTCTCTCATCACCGATCTTTCTATCTCTCTCTCCCTCTCCCTTCTTCTCTCTGAAATCAATAAAAATACATTTTAAAATAATAATAATAAAAGAAAACTATACGGAACAGCAAGAAAATCAATACATGTCAGGATAAGTAGTAGAAGAGTATGACTGGGAAAGGGAACACACAGAGCTTCAGTGTCATTTGGTAACATTCTATTTCTCAAGATGAATGGCTAATATACAGGAATTAATTTTACTTTATTCCTTATATACATTTTATATCTAGTTTCTATTCACGAAACGGTTTACAATAGAAGGAAAATAAGTACTATTAAAAAGAAAGTGATTTATACATAAGCTATTAAAAAGCTATCCTCTGTGTTCCTAAGCAGAGGATATACATCTGAAAATAGCTGGACTTGATCTGCGTCACAAGATATCACCCTCGAGAGAAAATAAAAGTGACAACAATATATTGATAAAACAAATCCTCTTATTTTCCAAAGGAGGTAAATTTTTTTCAATAGACGAATCTGGAATTAATCAAAACCTACAGAATCTAATCCTTAATCTTAACTTTTAAAGAAGACTCCTAACACTTTAAGCCAAATACTATCAGTGACTTAGCCAGTCATCAATGCCCAGGTAAGAGATCCAAATTCTATTACCCTTTCTTTCACATTTTCTTTTTTCATTTCTAGATTTATTTCATACCTTGGACAAGTCAGCTCTCTCATGACTAAACAACTTTGCTTTGATTTCTTCTACTTTTCTCCGGTCATCTTCATTTAATTCTGAAAGGGAGTAGCCACACTCACGAGCCATATTAAACTTCAGATTCCAGGCTGGAAAGAAAGTATAAACACACTTGAGATAATACAATGCAAAAGTGATAATTTGTCAGTGATTATAAGAGCACAGAAGATCATTCTATCTAATTTATGCCTATCACATGCTTAGCAAAAAGTGTGTGCTCTAAATTATATGACAAACTATTAGAAGTTCTTGAGAGAGATCATTTCATTGGAGAGTTTTATTTTTTAAAACCACATTTTACAGATTTTTCTCCAAAAAGGCCACTTTAAATAGGGTATTTAATCATTTTTATCTTAATCTTCCTTCTAATCAGAACAGTCCCTTTGCCTTCTCCATTAGCTCCTGCTACAGTTACTGCCACTTCCACAAGAGCTGATATTTTAAAACAAACAAAACTTGGGAATTTTTTTGAGAATCAAAATATACTTAAGTGATAAAAGGAACGGTTTAGGTAGTTGATCTCAAGGAAAGATTCCCAGGTAGGTCTAGCTTGCTTATAAGTTATCCTTCAAAATATATTCCCCACATTGTCCTAAAGATTTTTTTCTTTTTTAATGGAGTTCTACTATTAGAGATTAAAAGGATTAACAAATATTCTGTTTCAGACCTCTAATCCAAGTTTTAGTATGAAATACTGTGATTAGTTTTTTCCAATGTCTACCTAAGATCTACTCCAAGAATGTTATTAGCAAAGGGGATGAAAAAGTATATGTAGTTTTATGATACAATGATTTAGAGCAGAGTAAACTGGGTTTTGTTTTCTATCTCCAAAATAAGGATACTATAATGGGAGGATTAGGGAAAACATGAGAGATTTGGGAGTTTGGAAACTCAAGCCATCTCCTTACTCTCCTCTCCTTCAGACATCAGAACTTACTTAAGACCCTAAACTCAGACTAGCACTATTAATACTATGATTTAGCTACATTATTGATTAAATGGGCTTATTCTGGATTGTAGTAGAAAATGCAATCATCCTAACAGTTCTACAAGAAAATAAATTTAGAACACCAAACACTTAACTTTAATTATTAAACTGCAATGTTTATAAGCTTCATCTGCCTTTATAACAATCAGTTCTTACCTCGTGCGCGTACCCGACATTCCTCTTCCTCTGCATTTCTGAGTATTTGTTTAGCATGATTCAATGAGGATTCACATTTCAGAAGGTTTTTCACATGTGCAGCCAATGAATCTACACTACTACCACCCCCATCATCACTCTCTGACACACCCTCTTCCTCTCTGCTCTCTGTCATGCTTGTCTTCGGTGAAGCATATGGAAATAAATTTAGAAGAACATCAGAAACTGACTCTAAGGAATTACTGTCCCAAGAGCAGGAACTTGCTTCACTACTTGAATCACTTTTTATGATAGTCATCATAGGGATAAGAATTTTATTCCCAAGGGTTCCACTATACCCTTCAGGTTCAGATCTCATTACAGATCTGGCTGCTTTATATTGCCTTAGGGTTTCGTCTAATGCCACTCTCGCTCTGCTTTCTGCTTCCTGTAGAGGACTTCTAACTGTAGTTGAACTAATAAACTCCCAATTTTCAATGCCTCTCTGGCATTTCAGATTTGACTGTGTGCTAGTATCTTTCTGAATATACTTGTTGTATGGATTCTCCTCTGTGAATGGCTGTCTCTGAGGCAAATCAACATTAGATTCATCAGTTGTAGGGGGTTCTTTGAAGCAAACAACCTTCTTAGATTGAATAAATGAAATATCATTAACATCTCTGAAAGGTACAAGGGGAGCAGGAAAATTGCATCGTTTCAGTGCTATATTTTCTGCCTCCATCAAAAGTGTCCGAATCTCTTTAAGAGTTTTAGAACCATTATCTGTATCCTGGAATTCCTCAGAGCTAATATCTTTAAAACCCGAAGGTTCTGCTTTATTTATTACAACTCTACCATCAGCTTGAGAATTTAAGGGCATATCGTTTGAGATAATACTAGAGTTAGAAGAGTCCAAATTATCTATTAGCCTTTGGACATGGTCTGAAACAAGTTTATGCTTCTCACTATGTGAATAAGTACCAGGGTGAACTGTTGATAACCCAGTAATCTGATCAGCTTGACCAAGACCACTTGAAAACTTCAGGGCATCTTTAGTTAGACGTCTATCTGGCAAATCCTGTTGATAGAATTTATTTGGTTTCTCCCTATGTGAAAAAAGACTAGGAGGAACTGATGGTAATACAGTTTTCTGGCCCGCTGGTACAGGAATCGTTGATACTGTCAGTACATCTTCAGTTAGAAGTTTGTCTGGCAATTCCTGTGGGTAGACAATATCAGATTTCTCTCTCTGTGAAGAGGAACTAGAAAGAGGTATTGGTACCCCAGAATTCATATCAGTTGATTCAGGAACAGATGAAATCTTTGAAATATCTTCACTATGAAGTCTACCTGGCAAATGCTGTTTAAAGAAAACACTGGGCTTTATTCTCTGAGAATAAGAATTACGAAAAACTGTCAGTAATGGAGTCTGCTGGTCGTCTGGTCCAATCACAGTTAAATTCTTGGGCTTCTCTTTATGTGAATAGGAAATAAGGGGAGCGGTTGGTAACTCAGTCTTCTGGTCACCCGGTAAAATCACAGTTGAAATCCTGGGTTTCTCTTTATGTGAGTAAGAACTAGAAGTTCCTGCTGGTATCTCAGTCTTCTGGTCAGCTGGTCCAGGAAGAGCAAAAACTTTTAAAGCTTCTTCAGTAGTATCTGGCAACTCCTGGTAAAAAATACTGCCCTTTTCTCTGTATGGGTAGGGACCTGAAGGAATTATTCGTATCCCAGTCTTCTGGTCGGTTGGTCCAGGAATAGCTGAAACTTCCAAAGTGTTTTCAGTAATATCTGGCAATTCCTTCTGGTAAGGGAAGATGGGGCCCTCTCTATGTGAATAGGAAGAGGGCACAATTTGTATACCGGTCTTCTGGTCAACTGCTCCAGGAACAACTAAAAGTTTTGAAGCATCTTCATTATGATCTGGCAACTCCTGCTGATAAGAAATGATGGGCTTCTCTCCAGGAGAGTAAGAAGTAGAGGTTACTACTGGTATGCCAGTTTTCTGGTCATCTGGTCCAGAAACCCCTAAAATTTTTAAGGCCTCTTTAGTGAGATCTTGCTCATAAGAGATGACGGGCTTTTCTCTATATGAATAAGAAACTGATGGTACTGTAGGTATCCCAGTCTTCTGGTCAGCTATTCCGGGAACACCTAACACTTTCAGAGCCTCTACAGATAGATGACTACCTGGCAACTCCTGTTGGTAAGAAATAATAGGCTTTTCTCTATGTGAGTAAGAAGCAGAGGCTAATGTTGATTTTCTGGTACTTTGGTCACCTGGTTCAGGAACAGCTGAAACTTTCAGAACCTCTACAGTTAGCCGACTATCTGGCACAGCCTGTTGATAGAAATTAATGGGCTTCTCTTTATTCGAGTAGGAAGTAGAGGTCACTACTGCTATTCCAGTATTCTGGTCACCTGGCTCAGTAACAGCTGTAACTTTCAGAGCCTCTTCAGTTAGCTGATCATCTGGCAAGGCCTGTGGGTAGAAAATAAAGGGCTTCTCTCTATGAGAGTAGGAAGGAGAGGAGACTGTAGGTAACCCAGTCTTCTGGTCAGTTGGTCCAGGAGAAGCTGAAACATTCAGAGCCTCTTCAGTTAGCTGACCATCTGGCAAGGCCTGTGGGTAGAAAATAAAGGGCTTCTCTCTATGAGAGTAGGAAGGAGAGGAGACTGTAGGTAACCCAGTCTTCTGGTCAATTGGTCCAGGAGAAGCTGAAACATTCAGAGCCTCTTCAGTTAGCTGACCATCTGGCAAGGCCTGTGGGTAGAAAATAAAGGGCTTCTCTCTATGAGAGTAGGAAGGAGAGGAGACTGTAGGTAACCCAGTCTTCTGGTCAACTGGTCCAGGAGAAGCTGAAACATTCAGAGCCTCTTCAGTTAGCTGACCATCTGGCAAGGCCTGTGGGTAGAAAATAAAGGGCTTCTCTCTATGAGAGTAGGAAGGAGAGGAGACTGTAGGTAACCCAGTCTTCTGGTCAACTGGTCCAGGAGAAGCTGAAACATTCAGAGCCTCTTCAGTTAGCTGACCATCTGGCAAGGCCTGTGGGTAGAAAATAAAGGGCTTCTCTCTATGAGAGTAGGAAGGAGAGGAGACTGTAGGTAACCCAGTCTTCTGGTCAACTGGTCCAGGAGAAGCTGAAACATTCAGAGCCTCTTCAGTTAGCTGACCATCTGGCAAGGCCTGTGGGTAGAAAATAAAGGGCTTCTCTCTATGAGAGTAGGAAGGAGAGGAGACTGTAGGTAACCCAGTCTTCTGGTCAACTGGTCCAGGAGAAGCTGAAACATTCAGAGCCTCTTCAGTTAGCTGACCATCTGGCAAGGCCTGTGGGTAGAAAATAAAGGGCTTCTCTCTATGAGAGTAGGAAGGAGAGGAGACTGTAGGTAACCCAGTCTTCTGGTCAACTGGTCCAGGAGAAGCTGAAACATTCAGAGCCTCTTCAGTTAGCTGACCATCTGGCAAGGCCTGTGGGTAGAAAATAAAGGGCTTCTCTCTATGAGAGTAGGAAGGAGAGGAGACTGTAGGTAACCCAGTCTTCTGGTCAACTGGTCCAGGAGAAGCTGAAACATTCAGAGCCTCTTCAGTTAGCTGACCATCTGGCAAGGCCTGTGGGTAGAAAATAAAGGGCTTCTCTCTATGAGAGTAGGAAGGAGAGGAGACTGTAGGTAACCCAGTCTTCTGGTCAACTGGTCCAGGAGAAGCTGAAACATTCAGAGCCTCTTCAGTTAGCTGACCATCTGGCAAGGCCTGTGGGTAGAAAATAAAGGGCTTCTCTCTATGAGAGTAGGAAGGAGAGGAGACTGTAGGTAACCCAGTCTTCTGGTCAACTGGTCCAGGAGAAGCTGAAACATTCAGAGCCTCTTCAGTTAGCTGACCATCTGGCAAGGCCTGTGGGTAGAAAATAAAGGGCTTCTCTCTATGAGAGTAGGAAGGAGAGGAGACTGTAGGTAACCCAGTCTTCTGGTCAACTGGTCCAGGAGAAGCTGAAACATTCAGAGCCTCTTCTGTGAGATGTCTATCTGGTGAGGCCTGTGGGTAAAAAATAATGGACTTCCCTCCAAGTGAGTAGGAGCTTGGAGGTACTGTTGGTATCCCAGTCTTCTGATCACCTGTTCCAGGAACAGCTGAGACTTTCAGACCCTCTTCAGTTAGATGACTATCTGGCAACTCTTGGTAGAAAAGAATGGGCTTTTCTCTATGTGAGTAGGAAGTAGGAGGTTCTGATGGCAACGCAGTTTTCTGGTCAGCTGGTTCAGAAACAGTTGAAACTTTTAGAGCCTCTTCAAGTAGGTGACTATCTGGCAAGGCCTGTGATGAGATAATAATATGCTTCTCTCTAGGTGGATAGGAAGTAGAAGGTAATGTTGGTATCCCAGTCTTCTGGTCAGCTGGTCCAGAAATGATAGAAACTTTCAGGGCCTCTTCAGTGAGGTGAGTGTTTGGTAAGGCCTGTGGATAAAAAATAATGGGCTTCTCTCTATGTGAGTAGGAACTAGAAGGTTCTGATGGCAACCCAGTCTTCTGTTCAGCTAGCCCAGGAACAGCTATAACTTTTAGAGCCTCTTCAGGTAAATGACTGTCTGGCAAGCCCTGTGGGTAGGAAATAAAGGACTTCTCTCTATGTGAGTAAGAAGTAGAGGTTACTATTGGTATCCCAGTCTTCTGTTCAGTTGGTTCAGGAAGAATTAAAACTTTCTGAGCCTGTTCAGTTAAATGATTGTCTGGCAATCCCTGTTGGTAAAAAATATTGGGCTTCTCTTCAAATGAGTAGGCCCCAGAGGATCCTGATGGTATCCCAGTGTTCTGCTTAGCTGGTTCCAGAACAGATGAAACTTTTAGAGCCTCTTCAGTTAGATGACTATCTGGAAACTCCTGCTGGTAATAAACGATGGGTTTTTCTCCATGTGGGTAGGCACTAGATAGTACTGTTTGTATCCCAGTGTTCTGGTCAGCTGGTCCAGAAAGAAATGAAATTCTCTGAGCCTGTTCAGTTAGATGACTGTCTGGCAACTCCTGCTGATAGAAAAAACTGGTCTTCCCTGTAGGTGAGTGGGAAGTAGGGGGTGCTATTGGTATCCCAGTCTTCTGCTGAGCTAGTCCAGGGATAGCTGGAACTTTCTGAGCCTCTATAGTTAATTGGCTAACTGGCAACTCCTGTTGGTAGATAATATTGGGCTTCTCTCTATGTAAGTAAGAAGTAGAGGTTACTGTAGGTATCCCACTCTTCTGGTCAGCAAGTCCAGGAGCAGCTGAAACTTTCAGAGCTTGTTCAGTTAGATGACTATCTGGCAACTCCTGCTGATAGAAAAAACTGGTCTTCTCTCTAGGTGAGTAGGAAGCAGGGGGTGCTATTGGTATCCCAGTCTTCTGCTGAGCTAGTCCAGGGATAGCTGGAACTTTCTGAGCCTCTTTAGTTAAATGACTAACTGGCAACTCCTGTTGGTAGATAATATTGGGCTTCTCTCTATGTAAGTAAGAAGTAGAGGTTACTGTAGGTATCCCACTCTTCTGGTCAGCAAGTCCAGGAGCAGCTGAAACTTTCAGAGCCTGTTCAGTTAAATGACTTTCTGGCAATGTCTGTTGATAAAAAATATGGGGCTTCTCTCCACGTGAGTAAGAAGTAGAGGTTCCTGTTGGTATCCCACTCTTCTGGTCAGTGAATCCAGAAACAGCTACAACTTGTTGAGACTGTTCAGTTAGATGACTCTCTGGCAATATCTGTTGATAAAAAATATGGGGCTTCTCTCCACGTGAGTAAGTAGTAGAGGTCCCTGTTGGTATCCCACTCTTCTGGTCAGTGAATCCAGGGACGGCTACAACTTGCTGAGACTGTTCAGTTAGATGACTCTCTGGCAATACTGGTTGATAAAAAATATGGGGCTTCTCTCCACGTGAGTAAGAAGTAGAGGTTCCTGTTGGTATCCCACTCTTCTGGTCAGTGAATCCAGAGACAGCTGCAACTTGCTGAGACTGTTCAGTTAGATGACTCTCCGGCAATTCTTGCTGGTAGAAAATACTGGGCTTCTCTCCACGTGAGTAAGAAGTAGAGGTTCCTGTCGGTATTCCAGTCTTCTGGTCAGCAAACCCAGAAACAGCTACAGCTTGTTGAGACTGTTCAGTTAGATGACTCTCTGGCAACTGTTGCTGGTAGAAAATATGAGGCTTCTCTCTATGTGAGTAAGTAGAGGATACAATTGGTATGCTTGTTTTCTGCTCAGTGGATCCAGGAGTAGCAGAAACTTTCAGAACCTTTTCAGTTAAATGACTTTCTGGCAATGTCTGTTGATAAAAAATATGGGGCTTCTCTCCACGTGAGTAAGAAGTAGAGGTTCCTGTTGGTATCCCACTCTTCTGGTCAGTGAATCCAGAAACAGCTACAACTTGCTGAGACTGTTCAGTTAGATGACTCTCTGGCAATTCTTGCTGGTAGAAAATACTGGGCTTCTCTCCATGTGAGTAAGAAGTAGAGGTTCCTGTTGGTATCCCAGTCTTCTGGTCAGCAAATCCAAAAGCAGCTGCCGCTTGTTGAGACTGTACAGTTAGATGACCCTCTGGCAATTCTTGCTGGTAGAAAATACTGGGCTTCTCTCTATGTGAGTAAGTAGAGGACACTATTGGTATGCCCGTTTTCTGCTCTGTTGATCCAGTAGCAGCAGAAACTTTCAGACTCTGTTCAGTTAGATGACTTTCTGGCAATATCTGTTGATAGGAAATATGGGGCTTCTCTCCATGTGAGTATAAAGTAGAGGATACTGTTGGTGTCGCAGTTGATTGATCAGCTGGTCCAGGAACAAATGAAACTTTCAGCACCTGTTCAGTTAGATGACTGTCTGGCAGTGGTGGCTGAGAGAAAACGTGCTTTTCTCTTTGTGAATAGGAACTAGAAAGTACTGTTGTTTTCTCACTCTTCTGGTCAGCAGGTCCAAGAACAGCTGAAATTTTTGGAGCCTCTTCAGTTTGATTAGTATCTGGCAATGCCTGTTGGCAGAAAATACTGTGCTTCTCTCCAAGAAAGAAAGAACTTGGAGGGACTGTAGATATGTTGGTCTTCTGGTCAGCAGGTTCAGGAACCGCTGAAACTCTTAGAGACTCTTCAGTTAGATGACTTTCTCTCAACACCTGTGGGAAGAAATTATCTGGCTTCTCTCTTAGTGAGTAGGAACTAAAGGGTAATGTTGATATCCCAGTCTTCTCATCAGCTGGTTCAGCAGAGTCTAAAACTTTTAGTGTCTCTTCAGTTACATGACCATTTGCCAATATCTGTTGGTTGAGAGACTCAATATGCAGACCAACAGTATTCTCCACAGAAGACCTTACAGCCAAGTGAGAAAAGTCCTCAGAAGACAAGGGTAAATGAGATCCAATGTCTGATTCTCCAGAAGTGGTAGTGATGTCGGCTTTCAAATTGGATTGAGTAATTTTACTTATGACTCCTTTAGAAATATCTCCTAAAGAAAGATAAATTTGTTAATAGTATATATTTTTTGAATTGAAAAATACTTCTTGCCCTGGCTGGTGTGGCTCAGTTGGTTGGAGCACCGTCCCATACACCAAAAGGTCTCAGGTTTCTCAGGTTCGACTCCCTATCAGGGCACATACCCAGGTTGCAGGTTCAATCACTGGTCAGGGTGCATATGAGAGGCAATCGATGGATGTCTTTCTCTCTCTCTCTTCCCGCTCCTCCCTCTTCCTCTCTCTCTCTCTTAAAGCAATAAAAACATGTCCTTGGGTGAGGATTTTTTTAAAATACTGATTCCTAGGCCCCCATCAGAGAATGAGATTCCACTAGTGGGGGGGGGTTTAAGCATTGGTATAAAAGAAAAAATATTTCTTTTATGCACTAAAAGAAAGCAAGCTTTCTTTCCTTCCTTGGGAATTTACACTCTAGAAAGGAATCCTAAGGAAACAGTCATCAAAGGACACAAATATTTACACTCAAAGATATTTATTACAAAGCCATTTAAAGCAGCAATCTAATGTGAAAATAAGTTAAATACTCAACAACAGAACTATAGATTAAAGATAGCAGTATAGCAATTTGATGAAATATTATGCAGACCTTTAGGTGATTTTTAAAGAATTTTCAATGTGCTGTGAAAATGCTGTCTACTCTGGGATTTGATTTCACACTACTTATAAGCTAACAAGTTAGCCTGTTACTGTGTCATGTATGCTAGCAGAAGTTTTGATACTCCTCAATTGAGACAAAATACATTATTCCATGGCATAGCAAAGGATCATCAGCTTATTTTCATGCATTTCCCCTCTCTCCCACATCCTACAAGGGCAATGCAATATGGCCCAGATGGATACTATGCATTCAGTGGGTTTAACTGACTCTGCTAATAAGTGTAGCCATAGTAAGATATGTTAGGTTTTTTTACATTATCACCCGAGGATATTTTTTCCATCACTTTTCAGAGAGAGTGGAAGGGGCGGGGGAGAGAGAGAGAGATACATCGATTGATTGCCTCCTGCACGAGTCCCGACCGGGGCCAGGGATCAAGCCTGCAACCAAGGTACGTAACCTTGGATGAAACTGAACCCGGGACTCTTCAGTCCTTGAGCCAAAGCTCTAACCACTGAGCCAAACCGGCGGCTAGGGCAAGATATTTCTTTTTAACTATATGAAACTGTAAACCCTCTAAAGGTTACACTAAGAAGTTTAAACGTAATTCTATATGGCATAGGAAATTATTGACAGATATGATCAGAACTGTATTGCAGAAATACAGGTTCTAAATTGAAAAGGGAATACAAAAGTGTAAGCAGTACTGTCTCACCGAACTTTCTGCAACAATGGAAATGTGGTATATTTGTACTGTCAAATACAGTAATTCTAAATAAAAATAGTTCTAAATAGCAATGGGATGTAAATAACTGTAATAGAAATGGCAAGATTTGACAAGTAATGAGTTCAATCATTTGTTCACTCAAAAAAATAAATTGCATACTATAGGCCAGTCACTGTTCTAGATGCAGAATATAGTAGCAATAAATAAACAGACAAAGCTTACAATCTCATTCTGTCTCACAAAGCTTACATTCTATCAAAAAGAAACAGACAATAAGTAAATTGGTAAAACATATGGTAGCAAAATGATTGACATATTCAGCAAAAATTAGCTATACTTTACAGACAGGAAAATTAAATTTCAAAGGTAATGATATAGCAAGTGCTGGTCAATGTAAAGACCTTCTTTGACTAATTCAGTAGGTCTGGGGTGGGATATCAAATTCTGCATTTCTAACAAGCTCCTGGGTAATACCCAATACTATTGGTCCTTAGACCACATTTTGAGTAACAAACTTCTGTTTTCCTAGAGTTGTACAGTGAGTAAATGACAAAAACAGACAGTTTAGCTTTCTAATTATAACTGAAAATTCTGAACTCTTTTCACTATAACTGTCATTCTAAATCCACTGGTGAGCTTCAAATAAGGAGCTGAAAATACAGTAAGGACTGAATTATAAAGTAAAAAGGTAGAAATATCAAGTATTAACTTCAAGAAAACTAAAAGAAAAGGGAAGAATGTACAGTGCATTGCAACTTTAGAAGGATATGGGTTATGAAAATTTTTGAGAAAAAAAAAAGCTCAAGAAATTAATAAATCAAAACAGATTAATAAACTGACCAACCAATGGGTCAAAAAATAAATAAAAAGAGAAACAAAAAATACCTCAAGACAACTGAAAATGGAAATAAAACATTCCAAAACTTATGTGAAGTTTATAGGGACAAATGCCTATATCAAGAAACAAGGAAAGTCTCAAATAACATAACTTTACATCTCAAAGAAATAGAAAAAGGATAAACAAAGCCCGAAGTTACCAGAAGGAAGGAAAGATCAGAGCAGAAATAAATGCCAAATAAAGACTGAAAAGGTCAATGAAACTAAGATACGATTTTTTAAAAGATAAACTATATTGACAAACCTTTGGCGAGACTCACCAAGAAAAAAAGAGACAGGACTCAATGAAAATCAGAAAGAAAAGCGGAGAGAAAATCCAAGATAAAGGCAGAGTAGGTAGAAGGTACACTCACCTCCTCCCAGGACCAAACTGAAATTACAACTAAAATATAGAAAAATCAACCTGAATAGCCAACTGAAGACTCCTGAAGAGAAGTCTTATAACCAAGGATTTACAGAAGCTACATCGAGACTGGTAGGAAGAACAACGACAGGAAAAGGGCTGGCCCCACTCCCACCAGAGGTGGCTGAGATTCTGGAGGGATATCTCAGCAGCAAAGGCTCCCCTCAGGAGTATGGGGTTCAGATCCCACACCAAGCATAACACCCCAGAGCACCAGAACTGGGAAGAGGCACCTATATAACATATGACTATGAAAATCAGCTGGGATTCTGTCCGCCAGGGAGACAGGAATCTGCCAGAGACATAGACACCCTCTTCAAGTGCCAGCACACAGTCTTGTTCACAGCCATTCACCCTGGGTTCCAGTCAAGGGAGGGCGGAGGGGACTAGAGTTGTGTGAGGAGAGAATACGGTTGTGACTCTAGGAAAGAGCTGAAGGGACAGCTGCCAAGATCCCTGTACTGAGTCCCTTTCCCACACCACAGACGCCATCTTTCTTTGGTGGAGCACTCTCCTTTATATGGTACCAGTGTGGGAAAATGCAATAGCCACACTCAATGGACTCCCTGTCTCTCTACCCTGTCCAGCTTGCACCCTGTTGAGTCAGCTGCCTCACCGGGTGTAGAGGTCTAGGCAGACTCAGGGGGTATCAGTGACTGAGCTGTATGGCTTTGGGACAGAGACCATTCCTCCAACATTCCTATGAACCTGACCAGCATGTTCCTCTCACAGGAGATCTACTAGCCCCACCCTCCTGACTCCTGGTGGCCCCCCTACTGAGCTACGGCTCCTGTCAGAATCTGGGACAGACTGAGTTGCGTGGTTCTAGGGCAGGGACCATTTTTCTGTCACACACACCCGACTGATGCACAGCCTTCCGTTCACATGGCAAAATCTTGGTCTGTTTGGGCATGATAAATTCTGCCAGCCTCACTCTGATGATTTCCTGAGACCCCTTCCCCACAAAAAAAAATCTTCGGGCACTCGGAAAGGGGAAGGTAGACTTAGTATATCCTGGAACTTTTGTTGAGTGGCTTCAGACCCATCAATGGCAGATTGAACCTGTATCAATCTGGTAAACACCACTCACCCCTACCTGGTGACTCACAGAGAACCTACCTCAAGGAACCTGAGTATTGCCAGAGGCTCTTTCAGTCACTGAGCCTAACAGCAGGCCAGCAGGGAAAGGTAGGTGAAAATGGATCTCAGAGTGTCTTGGGCTTTTTGCTGACATGCTCTCAGGCTTGATGCTGGTTGAAGGCCAGCCTTGGTGCACAGCTTGGTCTTTCCCAAGGACACTAAGGCCCAGCAGAGGCAGTCACAAACAAACAAACTGTGGATCGCTTTGTAACTCCAAACAGTTTGCCCAGGGCCAGTCACAAGCAGCATCTAACAATGGTCTGCCCCAGAGTCCTTCCCAAGAGGTCCCAGAATAGACACAACCAGTGGCCAGCTTCAGACAACATCAGAGCAGGATCCAATTAGTGTCACAAGAGGCATATCCAAAGGGAGATCTTGGCAGGAACCAGATCCTGCTGAGGCAAATTCCGCTCCATGTGGTCAGCACCAGCACAGCAGCTCCTACACTATGGTCTGGGTTGATCCTCAGTCAGCCAGCCTAAGGGTTGACCCCACATGCAAACAGGCCAATAACCATCAAAACTCAATTACCACAGGAGAGCTCACATAACCCACACAGGGACATTCTTGGAACACCTAACTCAGGTGATCAAGGAGAATGGACCATTAGGTCCCACAATATACCTACTACATCATAAAGCCACCCTACCAGGACTGAAAGACATAGAAGATCTAGCCACTACATAGACACAAACACAAAGATGCAGCCAAAAAAGAGAAGAAAAAGAAATATGCCCCAAATGAAAGATAGGAGAAATCTCCAGAAAAAGAGCTAAATGAAATAAAGGCAAGCAATTTACCAGATACAGAGTTTAAAAAAAAAATGGTTATAAGGATGCTCAAGGAACTTAGTGAGAATGTCAAGAAACTTAGTGAGAATTTCAACATCATGAAAAAGGACATAGAAACCATAAAAAAAAAAAAAAGAACAGCCCAGCCAGTGTGGCTCAGTAGTTGAGCATCAACCTAGGATCCAGATCATGGTTTGATTCCAGGTCAGGGCACATGCCCGGGTTGCGGGCTCAATCCCCAGTGGAGGGCGTGCTGGAGGCAGTCAATCAATGATTCTCATCATTGATGTTTCCATCTCTCTCTCCCTCCTCTCCCTTCCTCTCTCTAAAATCAATGAAGATATATATTTTTTTAAAAAGACGGCAATATCTGAATTGAAGAATACACTAAAAGGAATAAACAGTACATTGGATGAAGCAGA